TTGGTGGCAAAGCTGAGATTCTGAGTGTAGACGTCGTCCGAGTGGATGGAAGAGCGGATGGCTTTGGTGAGAGCACCGTTCAGGAACACAGAGTTGAGGATCTCTTGGGGCAAAGGGTTGGATGACAACTGAGGATAGAGGTGTACAACAGCTGTTAAATATATGCCAACTCTATGACCACAAACACTTATCATCAATCCCACCATGACAACAGGATACAATCCACCATAAGAAGAGACTGGGAAGGTACAAACAAAGCACTAATGTGAGTTTTGAGTAAAAAGAAGTACATCAACTTGATGGCAGTCACATGGGGCAGGGCAAAAGTTAAACAGACAGTAACAATAGAGGGAAAGTAGAGATGTAGGACCTACCAGTGGTGCCCTCCAATCAGACGAGCACATAGGTGGGCACCCTTTGAAGTATACCAAGATCAGTAACAAATGTCATTTATAACTGAAATGTGTCTACAAGGCTTCAGGCGGCATTGTCAGTTTTCTGAGTTGAACAGTGGGTTTTTTTTCTTTGTTTTTCTTTTTTTTAGTACAAAGAGTAAATCCTGACAAAAGTTTTACCTTTTCCAGCAAAATATTGGAAAGAATCTCCGCAAAATCACCATCTGCCATCAACAAGTAGCGCCTAATGGCAGCAAAATGATCATCCACTTTGAGCTCTGCGGTGAAGTAGTTAATCACTGCGGTGTTGACCAGAGAAATTCTGAAATACATCACACACTCAATCTGAAGGTGCATTGTACAACATTGTACAAAAATGAGAGCGGCTCACAGCAACATAAATAGGACAGACTAGATAGCGATAGAAAGACTTCCACATTCCCAGGACTCCAACATGACATATTCGTGCCCTCCAAACACAACAGCTAGCTCCCACTTTGTTTGGCCACTCTCTTCAAGAATGTCAAGGCATCAACTTTTTTCAATAGCAGCATAAAAAGTTCAAAGCAAAACTTGCCAAAATCAACAACATGTAAAAAACTAACTTAAGTCAGACGAACTTCGTCTCTCTAGAAACTTTAAAATGAATACATTATTCAGAAATCCTGCTGACAAAATAATATGGTAATCACATAAATTCAAAAAACAACTATGTATATAATACATTAGTTTTTTCCTTATCTCAAAACACTTATATTTTAAATAAATAGCTTTGCACAGTTGACACACACTTTCCATTAATATCTCTAAGCTTCAACATAACGTCAAACTATATCTATTTATAAGGTTCAGCCATTCAAACAATTTGTGCATTAAACACAGTGACTGCCTCATGTGTAGGCGACAAGGACTTACTGGGCCCTGACAGGCATGGTCAAAGACTTGGTCAGCAGTACAGAGAGAGGTGTGTACTTGTAAACCTCCACCTCCTCTTCGCTAGGTACAGACATCTCTAGCAGACCTCGGCCCAGATCAACTACAAAAATCTTAGACATCATATCCATGGCAGGCTCGGCATCTGGTTGGACAGGGACAACAATTTGTCAACATTTTAGCAGGAAATCGCAAGTGAAATCATTCATAACCTCAGCACAGAAATCCAAAAAGAAATTACTCATCGTTTCAGGAAAGAAACCTCTGACAGTTAAAGTTAAGTCCAACATGCATGTATGCATGCAAAAATACTTCTCATCAACTCCTATCCATAAGCTCATTCCCATCTTTCGGGCATTTCACAAATATTCTAATAACAATAATAATAATAAATAGCATTTGTATAGCCCATATCCCCGCTCAACAGCAGGCTCTATGCGCTTTACACTATATTATTATCCCAGCACACCATAGAACACTCCGACACATTCTCAGCTTCCCGGGAAGCATACAGTGCAAGCAGCTGATTAAGCGCTCAAACACTAACAAACTGACAAGATCTTTCGCTGTCTATAGACGGGTACCCATTCCTACCTGGGTGAAGAGAGGAAAATTCGTGTAAAGTGCCTTTCCCAAGGACACAATGTCGGGTCCCTGACGGGATTCGAACCCACGACCTTACGGTTGTGAGTCCAAAAGCCTAACCACTAGGTCACCGACGACCTACTCTTCTGAAACCCAACTGTCCCTAAATAACAAATATTCCACCTAAGAAACAGATGGGGAAATAACGAGAGAGAAGGGACAACTGTGAATTTGGAAAAGTAGCAATGAGTAGCTGACAACAGAGACAGCTGAAGAAAGAGAGTTGGAGTAACGCCTTCATTTACTTCTAGACGGAATCAGGGTGGCATTTGAAATCAGGGAAAATTATACCAGGTGGCACTCAGCAATGTATAATCTTTAAAAAAGGAACACACTAATACCACTAAAGCTACTCTTGCATTGTTCAAATACTTGCAAAAAAATATTCAGACCAGCCCAATACCTTAATTTATGTACAAAATATTCTAAGGGGAAACTTTAATACAGGACTTTTTTTTCATACACCTAAAAGAAAACAGGCAATACAATAAAATTACCAAATTCTGAGAACTCCGTCTGGTAGAGCTCTGGTTGGTGCGGCAAGCCTGGCCTGAGATCTAATCTAGGCAGAGGTTCTGAAATCCAAATATCATCTCAAGGTGAAATATGAAAGGTTAAAACAAATTCCATTATACATTTTAGACTGAGACATCAACATAAAGTATGCAACATGTTTTTGGTCCCATGTTTACTTTCCAGGTGCCATATTAAACCTTAATTGCATCAGACAAGCACTGACTTTGAGAACATAAGTAAATACTGCAACACTAAGAAGAGACTAAAAGAGTATTTTAATTTAAACAATAAATCATAAGCATTTAGTTATTCTTCTTTTAGCTTTTGTCCTCCATTCTAGCTCCCCCTAGGCTGTCCTAGAAGGTCTGAAACATGTTCTTTTCTCGTACTCCATCATTGGAATACAATATTTCCTAAGTACCTTTTCCAGAGAATTTCAAGAAAACTAGATTAGAAACAGTGCTGAAAGTAAAGACAGAACAATGAAGCCTGCCCAAAATCTAACCATCAGTCTCCAATAATCAACAGCTAACAAATAATTTATTAAAGAAACACGGACCCCAGTCTGTAACAAAAAAATGTAACAACATAATGCGCAAATATGCCGTTTTCAGAACTAGACAGCCGTCATTCATTTTAAGTCATAGGAAAACATACCATCACATACAGTCTTCCAAATCAGTATTCATTTGAACAAGCTGTAATACTTACCTTTGTCTTCTTCCACAACAGGCTCCAGACTGGCATCTCCATACAAAAGTTTCTGCACGCTTGAGTCAGATGAATGTCCCTTCACATTTCTCTGCCGGAACCTCTTGATGGCAACAACATTCTCATCCACCTGCTGAGACTCCGTGCTGGCATTACGGTGTCCCTGGATCCGAATGCCTGGCCTAAACTTGTCTGAAGCAGCAATATCACTCTCTTTGGATGCAGACATAGTGGAACTAATACGAATGCGTGGCTTGATGGAGAAATCTTTGAAATTGGACTCAACACTGGCATGTTGAGAGCTGTGTCGACGTAACCGGGGGACAGACAAAACATAGTCAGAGTTGGACAACTGAGAAGCATGGCCGAACAAACTGGGCTTCTTGATGAGCCACTCCTGAGACTCTGTTTCTGTGCTGATCTGCTGGCTGGCCTCACCTCGTTGTTTGCGAGGGATCACCTGTCTCTCCCCTGATGTCTGCTGGTTCACCTGAACCCCATCCAGAAACTTCAAATGTGGCCTTTGTGGCTCAGCATCAGGGTCTGACTCTTTAGTAGCCGACATTGTTTTTGAGGTCTTGATGTGTACACGTCCCTCGACTTGTTCCGTCTCTGTCAATGCATTCACCCCAGCAGCCATTCTAATGTGAGGCTTTGTCTCAGCACTCTCTTCCGTCTGGTCAGTCACGTGCTTTCCCTCCACTGTGTGGACGTGAGGCCGGACCGGCACCTCAGTACTTTCTACACAGCTGTGGCTCTCGGCAGACACCTGAATCTGAGGGCGGGGCAGATGTGTACCTCCAAGCTGAACTGCTTTATACAAACGTACACTTGTGTTAGCATCCTTTGGGTCACCTTGGTCATCAACAGCATCACCGTCACCCACCTCACTGCCGTCACTGTCTGCTGCCTCATCCACAACTTGTACAGGCTCAACGGCCTCCTCTTCCATAGCCCTTTTCACCCAACCAGGCAATGCCTCATTCTCCTCCTCTTCTTTCCCCTCAGACAACACATCCTCCTCTCCTCCCACCTCCACAGATGGCAGCTCTCTCCTGGCCCAAGATGGCAGACTGCCTGCTGTTTCTGTCTCACTGGGCATTGGGTCTTCCTCCACCTGTAGTGGAGAATCTGTCTCAGCAGCTCTCTCCACCCAGCTCGGCAATACAGGCAGGGACACAGAGTCCAGCACAGTCTGAAGATACAACAGAACAGATGCCATCATGCAATCATATTGAAAGAGAATTTTCTTTAAAATTCAGAATAAAATAAGTCCCCTTGTCTTTCCTTTAGCAACCTTAGAAAACACAAATTTTTTTTGTCTTTAACACTTTGCTATCATATTTTGGGGAAAATCCAAAGAAACCTGGCCGTAAACATCGTCAATCAGCGAGATGAGGCGGCAAAGTGTTAAGTGTATCATTGCCATTGCTATTCTTATTTCAATGCTTTTTAACATAACATAATCAAATTGCTTGATTAGCTGCCTTATCATTATTAGATTATTGTTATCAAATTATTATTATTATTATAAAATTTCCGTATTAATGTGATTAAATAGTACATCAAGGCTGAATAAATATCCTGCCTCTGTCTTTCAGACCATACGTAAAGTTTACTGGAAGTTGTTCATCTCAAGCTCACGTGAGGACATAAGACCTCTTTACTAATCGATGCAACTATAAAGAAAAATTTCAAAAACTCATGCCTTCTGTAAGCATCCACCGTACCTGGCCATGAAAAGCTTCCTCCATCTCTTTCCTCCATCTCTCTTTTTGCGCCTCCAGAAATTTGGCCCGAGCATTACCCAGTTGTGCACGCCGAACCTTCCACAGCGCCACACGCTCACGATGCATCGCCTCCTCGCCCAGCTCTGTGTAGTATGCAATCAAATCATCCCTGTGGAAAGGAAAAGCCATTTACTAGTCATGATTGATGTACCTTTAGTTGATCACTTCATTCAATGCATTTTATTGTGAACTCAGTTTAATACATGAAAGAGCATTTCAGTGTTCTCCTATGTATAATTCTTTCACCTGTGAATGAAAACCTGATATGTTCAAATCTTCAAATACGAAACAAAGACTCATTTCATTGTCTAACTTCCTGCCTTTAAAAGATCAAAGACATTAACTGATACATCTCAAACTGCAACAATTACATTAACATGACTGAAGAGAATAAATACTTGATTCGTGAACTTGGGAATGTTTCAAGATGTTTTACTTGAGCCAACAATAAGATGGTCTTGAAAACAAAAAATGTGTCATCAACTCTTCTCTGTTAGACAACCACAACAGAGAGAGACCAGAGGAAAACACTGGAAAGGCAAGCAACTCAGTCTGTATTTCATGCCAACATTACCATGAGCTGACATGTTGCCATGCCAGTATAAAAACAAGGGACTCCATATCATAAAAAAACCATTTTAATAAATTTCGTAGTTTGTCTACCTTGCTTTCTTCTCCAGTTCTATATCCTGCTGCGTCATTGCATCTTCCTCCCGGTTGAGTCTTGCAATAAACTGCTTGTCTTCTTCTTTTTCATCTTTCTCTTCTTCTGCTCTTCTCTGAGAGAGTGAGTAAACAGAATAACAAACATAATTCAAAGAGGATGTCGAAACACTTGTAGACAAGGGACATAATTTCACCTTCACAAAACAGATCACGGACAATGTAGAGAAACCACAGGTTATATACAACACAGAGAAACCTGCAAGTAACCAAGTGCACAACTTCTCCCTCAATCAGTCCCCTCCCTACAGTACAGTACCTTAATATAACATCCGTTATTGCAGTGACACTTAGGTTTTCTTTATAACAGTTCGCTTCAACACCCACTCACCTTTATATCATCCTCCATTTGCTGCTTAAGTCTATCAAACTCAACTTTTTTCTTCTCATCTGCTTTCCTCTTTCTCTCGTCAATGATACCTGCAAAAGAGCAAAAAATTAAGTAGCATCATATAGACGCGACAAGAAAAACCCTAGATTCACACAGAGGTAAAAAGAGATATCAAAAAGACTAACACTTTTGAGTCGCAAGAAAAATTGTTCCATTTCAATTATCAGAAATGTCACTGAGACACCATCTACTTGTTTGGGGGGCTGCTTACCTTGCAAACGTGAAATTTCTTCATCAGCAATCTTGCGGGCTGTCTGTTGCAATTCCAATTTGTCTTGCTCAATTTTTTGTAGTACATCATGCCTAAAGGTGAGGGAACAAAAAAAAAACACCCAAAGTAGACAGAGTTTTGTTTCAATTCATTTGAACAAAGAAAGAAAAACCCTGAAAGATACCCAGACAAGGATAACAAGAAAAACAAATAGATATTATCAATTTGACTAGCACTCTTAAAAAAACCCAAAAGTGGTTGGTTTTCGAGACAAAAACACTTTGACCCAAATTCACAGATAAATGAGAAATTAAAAACACTGTTCTAGTCAGATAATTTGTATCAAAATAGGGAGAAATTGACTTTGTGAACATACATTCAGATCACAGTTCTATACACAACCACATGCCTTGTGAAGCCTTTCTTTCACCAACACAACTACTCCTGGGAGCCCATTAGTGTATTCAGCCAATACTGCTTAGGATAGTAATCACTCCAAGACTTATTTCAAGCAGCAGCTAGTAATAAATTCAAAGCCCATGCATTCATACCTTAATGGGACAACAATCCATTTCTCCTCCCCACTTCCAACAATGTTTGCCCCATGACCTTCATCAACAATAAATTCCACATTATCAGTTCCCCCACTCTTACCTGTCCACAGTTATCCGTCGACCAACCTCCCTCATGCGCCCCACATACATCTGGCAGAACTTCTCTGTGAGTTTGAGCTCTGACTGGGAGAAAGTCACGTTGACAGTGGGAAGTTCACTCTCCGACAGGTTGCACATGAAATGCTGCCGATTCAACAACAACATACTCATTCATGAGCCAGAAAAGCATGAGCCCACATAATGTACAGAAGTCTTGCCCCAACTTTCATGAGAGTCATAGTGACATATTTTTTTCTTTAGCACCTTTGTTATTGAAATAAAGGGTAAAAATTTATTTTAAAATCTAACTTACAAAATAAACTACTTCACTGTGGAACTTATCCAAAAAAGATGAATGCGATCCTTTTTGTTGCAATATTCAGCTTTCATCAACTGTTCAAACATAACAGTATATACCTAATGTACTGATGTATGGTGACTATATGGAACTGTACTCCCCCATTCCCCTGCCCCGCCCATTGACTTCAATGAAAACAGTATGTGAAGCGCAGGGGGCAGAACTCAGAAAGAACTAGCTTTGGACAGATTGGAACATTCAACGAGCTCAAGCAGACAGTCTCTGCATCCATAGTACAACATTTAATTTTGTCACTATGAATTTCCTTGTTTTCATACTCAAAATATTTATTAATGACTTCGACTTCAATATTAACATCAAGACACAAAGAGGCTTTGAAGCACCTTGACTTCATTTCCGTGTGTGCAATCCAAGCACAGTTGGAATAGCAGAACAGTACCTTTGAGTGACAAATGCTTAATGTAGCGGATGTCTACAATATATATACAAATGTTTTGCTTCAGGTAACACATCAGATATCTTTGGATGACAAATGCATACCTCTGGGTGACAGATGCGTAGCAGGTTGATAGACTTCCCGCAGGTGACCAGATCCTGAGCCATGCCATGCAGAAACTGAGGCACTTCCCCACGCTCATTGTCTCCACTAATCACTGTGTACGCTTTCTCCCAGTACATCTCATCTACACAAAATCAAACCAAACATATTTCATTGTGTTTAAAGAAAATAAACAAACAGGGAAAGCCTTGCATTTATAGTACAAACAGCAAACTAAAGTTCCTCAAACAAAACCTTCATAACTTCCTTGCGTCCAACATTTTACTCATTATCACAGCCAGACATGTTAGTGTCATGAAATTATTCCTTGCAGAAGCCATCCTATGTTATACATGCCCAAAACAAATTTGTAGGCAATTTTTAAAAATACCAACTAAATATGATAATAATAATAATCCTCATCATCATAATAATCATAACAACAACACTAATAATAATAATAATAATAATAATAATAATAATAATAATGACAACAATGATTATGATAGAACAATAATAAAATTAAAGGGTTGCATTCACATAGCACATATCCTTGCAAGAATGTAGACACTTCACAATTTTTTAATGTACTATTCTGTTGCGTTTTTCATTTTCTTTACTCATCAAACCGCGAGTGCGGTTTTAATATCTTCTCCCGAGACAGTAACTACACAGAGAGTGGCCCAGTGCCGTACCTCGTGCCTCAATACATCCGTCATCTGCCTGTATCATGAACTCCTGGTAGCTGTCCGTGAACACACCATGGAACACCCAGTCTCGGATAAATCTGGAGGAGATCACAGTATCATATGTACAACCCCAAGGGAGATGGCCACAAAACAGTAAACTTTACTTAAAATATGTCAGAGAAAGCCATCAATTAACCGTAAACCTTTGACATGCAACACATGGCTTTTATAAAAATTTTACAGAAGTGGATACAGACTAAAACAGCAGCAAAGCTTATACATCAAGGAAATAACAAGAAACGACAAATTTATTTACTGTTAGTTGTAAGTTGAAGAATTATTTTCACCTATATAAAAAATACCAGCAATAACAGTTACAGAAGCACAAGCAGAACCATCACAAGGCAACTGCTGTGTGTACTAACACATGACTGATGAGACAAATCAAGACAACAAGTACTCACAACATGAACGGAGCGCTGGACATCTGCAGCACTGACAGGAGTAGTGGGTAGTGTGGGGAGCTGATGGCAACTGATGCCTCATTGTACAGGTAAGACAACAGGTTCATGCCCTGGTTATAGAAAAAAAAAAGTGGTATCCTCACTACCAATATGCTATACCAGCACTACGTTCATTAGTTCAAGTCAACAGATACATCCTCTGATCTCATGATCATGATGCACACTGGATGTATAGAATATTCATATTTTCAAATATACAAACCACAAAAAGAAAAAGCTAACAAGAGGCACTTCACCGATGAAAAATTCCTCAACTTAATTTGAAAATCTCCTCACAAAACACAAAGGGACCTTAGAAATTATATGAAAAATGCATGCAGCAAAATCAAAGCAGTTGCAAGGAATACACACTTTTACCTGAAACGTCAGATCTTCGTGCACTAGCAACATGTGACACAAGTACCGTCAGTAAACTGACCTAAGACCAACACTACAGGCCTCATTCTTTACACTAACAGAACTGAGCAACTTATCATATACTAGCTGGGCCCCTCTTCAATGAAAGGAATGATCGGTGCATTAACATCAACTGGAAGTCATTGGCTGACTATATACCCTACTGGAATGGGGAAATAAATCTTGAGAGAAAAATGACACACGTGTTACCAAGTAGCCAAATAGATTAATAGATGTCATTGTATAGATTGATTTTCTATTTCGCTTTCGTGGTTGTACACTCCGGAATTTCAAAGGGCACGGCCAGTGAATGGACACCTCACTTGTTTACAATGGCGTCTTAGAAGACGGACTTTCCCAAGATTAAAAACCAGTGTGCACTAAACAAAGCATTTTGGAAAAATCAGGGAAAGCAGTTTGTGAGGATTTTTTAAAGTTAGGTCCTAGCCATATGGATGCTGTGCACGCCTGCAAAGTTTCAAAGGTGTGGGTTAGGTAAGAAGGGAGGAGTTTGTGCACAAAGCCTCCCAAGTCCACTTTTATATATATAGATACTAGCTCTACTTTGACTATTTGGTCAAATTGTTTACAACTGGATATAAAAGATGCAAGCAGTCAATTTTGAACACGCTCATAAAAAAAAAGAATAAAGTGTGCACACAAGAGGATGGAGAGTGGACCGATGCATGAAGCTGATCATGAAAAGAGAAAAGCATCGGCGAGGAACAAAGAAAAAAAAAGCTTTGGAGAGAAACAAAAAAAGAAAAAAACTCAGTAAAGGGGAGAAGAGAACATACCGTGGGAAAATCTCCCGGTGGCTGTGATGGAGGAGGTCGGTCATGGCAGTGGCAAAGCTTGGCCAGGTACCTGTAACAAGACCAACAAAGCTGGATAGTTAGTGGTTGAAAAACATTTCACCTAAACAGATACCAAAAAATAAAAACGAACAAAAATGTTTTTACGTACAACATTGCGACCATTTTGGCTGTCAGGAGATATGCTTCATCATACATTCATAAAATTTAAACTCATCAGATACATACAGTGTAGACTAGCATTTCTTAGTTTTATCACATCTTTGCAAAGCTTTGTGATGAAATACGGCATTACACAAGGCAATCAGCTGACATGCAAAACACAAAAGTGACAACTTCAGCAAACTGAAATGTAAACATTCATCCAACAAAACACAATCAACATGACACACATTTGAAACATCACCCAATCAACATATTTAGCACACATAGCACTAGTTAAACCTAATAACTTTACTCAGAGAATATTTAAATCACAGCATCTGGTTGCTTAAGAGACGTACCTGATCTGAGCCATTGCCTTGTGGAAGTAATTCTTGAGCTGCAGCATCTCCAGGTCTTGTGGGACATTCAGGATGGCAGCACTGAAGTACTTCAGCACCCTCCGCACGGCCGCCACAAACGCCTGAAAGATGAGCCCCTCACGGTAAAAAGAGTTGAGGACTAAAGGTTTAGAAAACTGGAGCAGCCTGGCATGGAAAGTACCACATGCAACAAAATCTCCCAGAAAGTCAGCCAGGAGATCAGGGGAGATTCCAACCACATGAAGATCTGGAACAATCTGGAAACTCTGTGTCTCCTGTGGAAAAGAAATTAAGTTCAAGCAGTGTCATTACAAGTTCAAACAGTATCAGCTGTTCCCACTACACAGATTTCTTTCACTGAAACAAATTATTTGACCCACTTCACTGCCCATCAAACTAGAAGGATGTCCCTCCCCCCCAAAAAACAACAACTATATTAAACATTAAAATATTAGGATGAAACTCCATATTATGAAAGTCTTTAGGCTAAACGAACAAGCTAGACAAAGAAATACAGGAAAAAGCAAAGATAGCTTTTTTCCACAGCAAGAAAGTCACCAGTAAGATGATGGTCTCCATGAGCCATGTCAGAGATGGGTAATACAGGACACAAGAGGGATTCAAGCCTATGAATTCAAAATGATTTAAAACTAGATCTCAGCAGAGACAGGAATGCCAGTCAAACTGCCTTTGTACTCACCTGATCCAGTGGGAACACATCGGACGGCACAGCATTCAACATGTACAGAATGTGCTTCACCAGGCTCCTGCTGTCCACTGTGACAAAAGGTGTCACTGACGCTTCTAGCACAATAGAACACACCCGCTGACGGAGCTCAATCAGAATATCGTAGACCTCTGGTCCTGCCTCTGTCAGATACGGTCGCTCTGTAGGTCCTGGTTGACTGAAATTATATTTTCAGGCTAATAGATCAACAAGCCATTGAAGTATCAACTTAACCAAATGATCTGATGGACTCAAGCTGGTTCCTGTGAGTGACTACCTTTATCTTTCGGTGCATCAAATGCACATCTCAGCTTACAACAATGTTTACCTTGCAGTAGATGCACAGGGGCTCGGGTGCACAGGTCCGGTAAGACCCGGGAAGGCAGTGATCAAGGGATTAAATATCAATACAGCCAAGGGAAACAGAAGCACATCTTGAAAATCATACAGCTGGGAAACAGCAAGACACAGCTGTCACTAAGAAAAACAAAAAGAAATAAAGCTTTGAGCAAAAAAAAAAAGACCAAAAAAAAGAAGAAGAAACACAGACTAATGGGGTTTCTTTTTCTTCCGAACAACAATGTAGTGATATTGAGAGGGCAGTGGACAACTCTGGCAGCTTTCCACCCCTAAGCTGACTCTAATTATAACCAGATTTGGGATTAGTGATTCCCTGGTAAACAGTCTCCAAAGAGGTAACAACTTTTTTCCACTTTCCAAGAACATGCTTGGATATGCTTACACAAAAACATGACATTCACACATGTGGTACTAAGAAAACATTTAGATGTACTGTCACATGAAGCTGTAAGAACACATTCAGTAGTACTCACAAATGTACATCAATGAAGAACCTACATAAACAATACGAACATTCAATTGTACTCACAAGCCAATCCACTCCCAGGTGTAGTGCTGAGACCTGGCATCAGTCAAGGCTCTCTCCCAGATGCTGTCATCCACACAAGAGTGATCAGTTACGGTCATCACAGAACTTGACATGGAGTTGCTGCCACTGCCCAGACCTGATTCTTCCGACAACTGGAGAACACGGACAACAGGTCAGTGATACGTACACAAACACAGACACTGATATAGCACTGGGTAACTCTTCACATAACATGAAAGGTTTATTTGTTTGAGAAAAGAGAAGGACATCAACACAATAATGGTCATTTAGTATTGAGAAAAACAAAAAGTAGACAGGACAGAAACAGCAGAGAAAGGGAAAAGGATGGATTATAGTCAGTAAAAGAGAGATGGTACTGAACTGCTAGAACATGAGGAAATGCCAGATTGTTCAGCAGCAGAAGAATAGTGAGTCATAAAATAAAACTGATAACTTCAGAAAAGGGAATGAACATCTCATTCCAAAAGCAAAAAATCTTTCTGTAAACCCTAACTCACAAAACTAGTAGCATCCCCTGATGGCAAAAACATGAGCTGACCGACACACCATAGGCAGGCAAAGCCATATCTGAGCAATAACACTAAACAATTTACCTGACTGGAGGAGTTTGACTTCCGGCACTTGAACTCTGGAATCCTGTCAGAGCAAGCACAAGGGAAAGCATGTCACTTTACACCAATTCAAAACCAAGTTTTTATTTTCCTGTGTTGTGTTTGACAAGACTGCAACAGTTTTTCCGTACAAACAGAATAGAGATATGGGATGTGGTGTGAAAACATGCAGGCTCATAGGAATACAGCGCAAAAATATACAGCTAATGCCACTAAGGTGAAAATACAGCAGCATGATGAGCTGTCACTGAGTGTACAAAGACAAGTAAAGTTACTTCTCTTTTATTATAATTCATCATCAGCCTTTCATCCGTCCCTGAAAGAGTCTGATGAGTTATGGCAAGCTAAAAGTAAGCAAAAAGGTATAAAACAGCAACATCTTGCATACAACTCGTCCATAACAGCCATCCAACAAAAATTGATTATGACTTTTCTACCATGAGACAAAACTTCAAGATTTAACTTTTTTTTTGACAACACTGTTATTTACTCATTTCTTTTGCTACAATAGATCTAAAACCCTTAGATACATTTTGCATACAATCTCTTCCTAGTCCTATAAAAACCTCAAGCTCACCTGAGGTGAGGTACAGAGGTCAAGTCAGGCAGCTCTAACTGTACATGGAGGCTGTCAGCGCTTGTCTCGGTAAGGCCTCCAAACAGCGAGCTGTGAGAGCTCTGCTCATGGGAGTCACCCAATAGCAACTGAGAAAAAAATGGGGTGGGGGTTGGGGGGGGGAAACCAAACACAAGCATAGTCAGTATAAAGAAATTTTTTTGCCATGTTTCATTGTCAAGGAATGAAATTAACTAAACAGAATGTCATATTCTTTTTTTCTCAACTTTTTCCCCATCAGTTTTCAGATTCTCAAATTTTGAAAGTACACATCATCCACTTAATGCCACAGATTAACAAAAATTGCTGCAGAGCCCTTAGAAACTGAAGTACACTGTGACAATCACAACACCCCTTAGGCTCTCGCTTCTTCAATCTAAACCTCTTTACTTAACAAGCCTCATTTTTTTTTTTTACTGTAAAGTTCTACTGGATGTGTCATTCTTATAGTGTTAAAAAATCCAGATTTACCTTATGGGAGAACACCAAGTCTGGGCCCAAACAGTTTCCAGGCATCTGATTAAAAATCTGTGAAAAAAAAGTAATGGATAAAAGTCACAGATACAAGAGAGTTTCACAATCCACCAAACACTGCATATTAAATCCACATTTACAATGAGCAATTCAGACTTTCCTGGTATTGTTCCTCTGTAATTTACCTCTGATAATATTTTCCTCTTTATACTCAACTAGACTTGTATAACTTATGCCTACTTACCTTGCCATAAAGCTTTTCTTCATTCTTGAAGATGGAAGGAAAAGGTTGGGCAAACAACTCCCTGTAACGGCAAAGTATTCAGATTAACATTCAGTTGAAGACACCAGGGGAAAAAGAGTGTAAGTCATGGGAAAAATATTGAGAGCTATTGTCTTTCTTTCACATGTTCATTTGGACTACTGTCATTCTTTCCACGGGCAACTGTTTTAATTGGGTCACTAGTAAATGACTGCAGCAGTTTCTGATGAAATGGTATTGATAGACAAAAAGAAACAAGCCCAACAGCAGATCAAAACAGACAAAGACAAAAAAATTGATTGTGACAAATGCCTTTCATCGTCTGCGCTCTTCAACTGATTTCATCATGTCACTTTAATGAGTATAAAAATAATAAAACAAAGTGAACTCTGTTATCAAGTTAAAGAGTTAAAGAATTACGTTAAGAGTGCAGCGATGAAAGCAAAAAACAAATATAATGTTTTTGGCATATTAATGAACAAACAGTTTGTAACACGCTCAGAGGCATGATCACACAGCCAATAAAACTGTTGGTGCTATACAAGCATCAATTCCTTACTATGAGCAAAAAATAACAAATTTAACTCCCACTTTGGAGACGGACAAAACTACTTCAATTTTTTTAATTTAACCAGAAAATGGTGTTTTCTGAGACTCACTTAGGAAAGTGCATGTAGTAGTGTGAGTATCCTGGTAATTTCTTCAGGTCTCCATAGCAGACAGGGGCATCCAGTGCAATGTCTAAAGTCTGAAAGAGTACAATAGATATAAGCACTAGTGTCTCAAGACAACAAACAGAGAGAAACAACAAATCGTTAAATCAAATACATAGAATATAATCATGAGGGAAAAAAACAAGAGTAGAAAAAGAATACAAAAGTCATTAAAGGTAAGCAAGAGGACCTTATGTTGTCAAACATGTATTGGATTTTCACGGTTTTTAAATTACTGAAACCATCATATTGAATTTTCGTAACTAAGCAACTACGTAATCAGACAAATGACTTAGTTGTGCCGACATATATTTTTCCTCGAAAAATGTACTCCCAGCAAACTGCCCCAAACATCTCAGGAGCCTATACTCATAGCATTAAGAACATTTTCCATTATCTTTTTATCTTACATGAAACAATCATGATGGTCATGTGAAATAAACAAGCTGAACCCAGCTGCAAACAAGCAATATCAACATACACATGCCTATGGAAGACTGAGGAGAGGTCACAAGCATATATCACTTGAAAATATGACAAATAGACATCCACAAAAGCAAATGGACCAGCCAAGACCATTCAACAGCCACTAGCTTTGCTACCTTCTCAGTGTTTTAGACTGATATTTTAAGGATTTATGCACTTTCTACAAAGACCAATGATCAAAAACCAAAAAAATGTTGATTCAATGACCACAATCTTCTCACCTTTCCACGCTCTGGACCAGGATAATGGAAAACATTTTCAGAGGGTTGCTCAATGGGACTGTTATCTGAGCTGCCTTTCAAAGCCACCAGGAACCTCAGTGCAGGGGTCAGGTCACTGTAGCGCTCTGGAAAACACGGAATTAAAGTCCTCTGAAAATATCACTGATGACCATCTAGCAAAAACATTACTACTCACTTTGTTAGCGACAAGGTAAGAAACATAGTCGTTTCAAGACCTCAGGTACTGACAGAGATTATAAAGTTTTAGCAAATAGGTTTTAGTATAATAGTAGGCCTATAACAAGTCGACTTTGCACGATATCGCTGGTCACGTTAACATATTAACAAAATTGTGTTAACATACTCTTAAACACGTTTCATGCCAAAGGGTTAGGTCAATACAAGGCAAAAGGGAATTTATAGAAAGATTCCAGGTAAGTAGGAAGGAAGAAAGATTTCAAGCTATCAGGAACATCAATACAAAGATCATTAAAAGTCAAAATAAGACATCAAATATTACCATTTTCCTTGAGACGTTTGAACAGCTTTTCCAGTCTATCTGCATCTTCAAACCTCCTGAGCTGTCGAAGTTTGTACACCTCCAGCACAATACTCTCCTCATCTTGATTCACCAGTGCATCATCCTCACTGAAAGGAGAAATAATCAACTACAAAATAAATTTCACTTTTTATTGATTCCGTACTTCTTAAAATCCAACCCTTCATCCTCACAAGGGGAGGTGGGAGTAAAAACAAATAGGGGATCGCTGCGTCTGGGTGAAGTAGGGTGTGACTTCATGTCACTGAGGCATTACACTAGAAGGTCAACTCGTGTCTCGCCAAAACATCGGTGGTTAAAGGGGCTCTGGTGAGACCTTGACTGGCCTAGCAAGCCAATGGACAAATGGCAATAAACCAAGAAAAGTAAACAGACAGCGAGCTAGAACAATGATCAAAATAGGCACATGAAATGTCTGCAGACTTGGACACTAAGGACCAGTAATAGTGAAGTTCATGGACAGAAAGAAGATGTCAGTCATGGGTTTGTCGAATAAGGAAGACAGGCAACAACAGCAAAAACCTAGCCAGCCAGCCAGCCTCGGGACCCTATAACAGCAAGTACTCTGCAGCAGAGTTGGTTTACTATAGAAAATTGATTCTCCTCTTGACGTTTAGCGGCAACAGAGGATGAAAATGAGTACCAGTAAGTAATCGATCTAGTGAGGAAATTTGGTTTACAATGGCATAACATATAATGCATAAATATGGTACATAAATACATACACCCATACTAAAACATATGCACAACTGCAAAAACTCATTGCTAGTTGCCACTGTGAAGCATCATGTTTTATGAGCTGAGATTATCGTGTATTGCTCAAGTACACACCCCAGTGACCATCCACCTAAACACTGTAATAGTTGTACACTTCACATTTATTCCATGGGAGACCTAGCTGAAGATGCGGTTCAAAGTCATCTACACCTGCCATAGCCATCATAATTACATGAACTAGCTCTTCAAAAGTCTTGAGACTGTAACTTTCTTAGGCTTCTTTAACAGACATAAAATACTACACTGAAAATAAAGACACACACATACATATGAACAAGGAAAATATACATCCTGGCAACTAACTTTTTTTTAGTCACGGACAAATAAATATTTGTATGTAAAAGACAGGGAAACAAATCTGTCTTTAAATCCTCTTGTCCTCTGTACTCTACCTCAGTCACAGGCATCCTCTCCCCGGCCCACATCCTTGCTCATGAAACTGATTTTTATCAACCCTGAGAAGACTCTGTTAATTAAGATCTATTGGAAAAACACCACAACTAACTTAAAAACAAAGACATAAAAAGAAACATGCACCACGCAATACTGTTTTAGTAAGAGTTTTACGGCACTTGCAACACAATAAGGTCATATAAGTGGCGAAGAATAGATTATGTGTTACAAGAGAGTAACATACACAAAAAAGCAGGACAGATAAGGACGATAGATGTTTGTTAGGAAAGAAGGAGCAAACCACACCTGAGCACCCGCCAACTACCCGCACACAATACTGATGGAAAGAGATTTCACTAGATGTAATGAGAAGGAACTTACACAGGTCTGTTCTGTAAGTACGAAAACAAAGCATTGTAAGCACACTGTCTGAGTCGCCGCTTTGCCTCAGTGCGACTGACAGCTGGCTGGACCCGATACGCTCGCTCAGCAGGTCCCAAATGTCTCTCACATAGCTGGGCGAGTGAACTCAACACACTTGTCTCTGTCATGCCTGATCTACAGGAAGTAAAAAAAAACATGATGAATCCTACCCTAGATAATATGAATGAATGAATTCCACAAAGATATATATATTATACTACAGTCGAACCTGCTCTAAATGGCCACCTGTATAAGACAATCACCAGTACAAATCACCACTTCTAATTTCCTCCCTTGAGTTTTTGTATAATGACACAGTATAAGTTATTATAAGATGTCCGCCTAAGATAACCACTTTTCTCCTGGACAATCGGTGGTCCTCTAAAACAATTTTATCTGTTCATACATATATATGTATGTCAAGCATGTCTCTTTTCTTTCTCTCTTAGTCTGTATTTTGGTTAGTTAGTTTTAGTAGAGGTTTTACGGCGCTCGCAACTGCATAAGGTCATATGAGCGCCAAGTCTGTGTTTTATGCAAAAAGAAAATTACAATGAAAAAAGAGAAAGATACCTTGCGGTAGGAAAAGGCAGGAACTGTAGATTTTGAGAGTTACAGGAACATAATTACTTTGCATCGGAGCACCTTGACAAGTGCTATCCTAGGGAGCTCTGGACAAAAGCAGCCACAGATAGATCAGCTGAGGATGCAGTTCAAAATGGAAGAACAGGAAAATACATATCCCGTTCCCAACAGAACAGAAAATCAAAGGAAGCATTGTGGTCAGCCTTTGAGCAGGTACAAATTACAAAGTGGAAACAGCTGCTCTGAAAACTACAGCCACTCAAATCAGATTTCTATGTTCCTTTTGCAACATATAATCCTCTTCAGACGCCCTTTCTATACAAGCCGTTCAATCAAACAAGAGACACTGAGCTAAATGACCAGTGAGCAACTATTACTAATCTTTTTTAATGGCAAGTGTTTTACGGCACTCACAACTGCATCAGGTAATATGAGGGGCGGAGGACACACCAAACATTTTTCAGTTGGTAGGAAATTTTGAATTTTGCCCCGGTGGCGACCAGAGCCGGCTTTGATCAATTTTGGACCACCAAAGGATCTTTAACGTGCGTAACATGCACACGTGACCTCTAAGATTTTTCGCCCTTGTCCGAGACAGCTTGGTGTAGATCTTACCTATCATAAGATTAGGGGTGTGGCTGTGAGACAGCAGTAAGAAGGAGCCAAGGAGAAGCAGTAGAAAGGCTGCAGAAAGAGTCAGAAGCCCAGAGGACGGGGCAAAGGAGGTGAGAGGGTGGGGGCAGAAAGTGGAGATGAAATCAGACGACAGAACTTTGTTAGAGAGAAGGAAAGGATGTGAAAGGAGAAAACTTTTTAGAAAATAAAATTTTCTGTCACTATCCGTATTCGAATCCGGGACCTATTGAATGAGAGGCTAACACTCTAGCCTCTAGGAACGAGGGCCCCCTATTATTACTAAGCTCTTAAAAAACTGCCCTGTTACACCACAGTGGATACCATCTCACTGCAACCTGTTTAGGAACAAAACAACAATTCCCTTACAAAATAAGTGTCTCGATCAGAGCAGCTCAAACAAAGGACAAATTATATTCGGTGGCTTAGCTCTTACAGCCCTAGTCTAATATACTTCCCTCTCAAGTTCTTGTTCACCCTGACCTAGTTGCACATTTCCCTCATAGAGCACCAGTCACCTCAAACCCAGTCGGGTATTTTTACCAATTACCCTACCCAAATGTCTCCAAAAATTATTTTTCATGTTATCTTCTAAAACTTCAAACAAAAGCATATGGAAATTTGTTTAACATTTTTAAAAAATTACTGACACAATTACCAATATTCAAGTAGTGGCTGGGCCTGAAGAGTCAAGGACTCCAGTTTCAAAATGGCCAGAGAGAAGTGAGAGCTAAAAATAGCAAAATGGGGTTATGGCAGGTTTCACAAATTGGGTGTCCAGCATTTCCCAAAATTGACCAAATACAAAGTGTTCTAAGCATGAAATATGATATACTGTTTGAAAGTTTAACATTTCAGGATGCTAGAAATGCATTATATTTCACGAGCGTCAGCTCATCGCAGTGAGCACAAGAGACCTTTGAAGTTAACTCCCCCTGATTCTCAGAGGAAGCTTACTGAAACCTTCCTGTAAATCACAGAAAGTACACAAATTATACAACACAAAAATACTCACAATCCACAAAAAAATACCCAAACAGCTGATACAGGAAGAAAAAATGCTGGAATCCCAAGATTCATCAACAGATCATTCAATTTATTACATAAACATGCAAGTTAAAATTGGAAATAAACTATAATATTCTGTAATTGTCAAACAAAACACAAACATTCCTAGGCTCTTTGTAATACTAAAAAGCAAATCAAAGTGTACTAGAGTACAGGTTCTTTATGAAAATTAACCGAAAAATAGCCTGGTAAGAGCCAACCAAGTGATTATTTCTAATTATTGGGTTATCTCCCCTGAACATTGGAAAAATATGTCATCTGGGAGGTTATTTCTCCCAAAATGCATCATGTAAACATAGAAAATCAATGGGAAATGAATATCAAATAACTATATGTGGTAAAAAAAGAGCATACAGTATACATTAATCCTTGAAGAGGTGCACTATCTTGCCTCAGAAGCAGAGTAATCCTAAGATTTTCATCATAATTCAGGCAGGTTATTAGAAATGCTTGTAAATTCCTTATTTATACATATAAAACACAAACCATGCATTACTTAACAAGTAATTAAAAAAATAAATAAATAAAAGCAATTAAAATTTCAGAACGGCTTTAATTAAATATAGAGGGACTTCTGAGGTTGAAAGTGGGGGGTCTTCAAGTTTTGTCACATTGTCCACTCCCCCCCCCCCCCCCCCCCCCCCCCCCAGTAAACGTCAAATCGGCAATGTCAGGAAAGAACCAGGCATCTCCAGTCTCTTTGCTGCTGCTCTCCAGCTTTTGATGCATGCAGGAGACATGGTGCACATGGCAAAGTTCAATTACTTCAAGGACCTGTGGACACCAAAGGCATAAAAACATCTGTCAACATTGCAAGTCCCTCCTACAGTAAGATCATTTCATTAAAATGCATAGACCATTCTCACTCTGAACATTTGGTTCATATTGAATGCAGTGCTCATTGCACTGTATTACGGTTTATGTCTTCTAACTATAATCCATGCTTAACAGGACATTAAAACTTTGAGTCTTCTTGCATACAGATGAAGTCCAACGTAAATAGTCACCCACACAAAAGCTTCAGAAAAAGAAAAAGACCCCAAAGGGTTATACAAGGTACAAATAGAACATTCTACATATGCACAATAAATATTCAAAAGTTGCATATCTAGTATGAATTCACATATCCAAATACAGTAGTCTTCGCTTAAGATCCCACTGCTTACGATCCCGGTTCGCTTAAGATCCCGCTGTTTAAGAAAACATAATTTTTACTTTACAAAAGTCACCTCTAAGATCCCACTCTAATTCACCCTGAAGGTCTACATTCGGCTAAGATCCCGTATTTCAGATAATAATTTGCAGAACAAAAACCCGGGTGGGCACAGCCGATTAGCCAAGAGTGAAAAGCTAAGATCAATAAACTGTCAGTCGCTTCAAAGATCAGTCACTATTGTGAATGTGATCACATACACGTTGTAAAACTCTATGAAGCGATACAATGTTTGCCCCAGACGGGATCACACCGGGGTGTGAACTGACCGATACGTTTGTTTTCCCCACGCATCACACTCACACCTAAGCTTTCCCCCTAAACTTACATCAGTCGCTGGGTGGGTAGGACCTACACGTTCGCTCTAGGCGGGATCACATTGAAAAGTGAACTCTTCCCTGACCATTTCAGCAGTTGTCTCTACTCCCGAATTTGCGAGACAGACTGAATTTTAATTGGTGTGTACACAACGTAATAGTGTGTAACGACAAAGGTGGTGGGGTGGGGGGGACTCGGTCACAGATGGAGAGCTATACATAAAGGGGAGGGGCAACTGGATAAAGGTAGATCTTGAGACTCATGATAGGATAATAAGTGAAAATGGCACGTCCTCATTGCCACTATGCACTGTGATAGGCCATCATGGTTAACCACTCTTTGCTCGCCGTATGTCGTAAACCCACCCAGAGGTCACGTCAGTTCATTCTGGAGTGGGGGGAGACCATTTTCGGATTGTGAGCCTTAACATGAGTCACCGTAGATTCTTCCCTGGGTTTGTCGGTTAAGATCCCGCTTCGCCTAAGATCCTGCATTTCCTTGCTCCTGAGCACCGGGATCTTAGGTGGAGACTACTGTATTTTGAAGTAGCCTACTGGTATATCAAATTCAACTTTGCTATTACCTATTGTTTTTTTCTGCAGGGCCGGACGGGGCAGCAGGGATAGATGGAACAGAAGGGCTCGATGGGGCAGCAGGGTCAGATGCTATCACAGTTTTTCGCCTTGGAATCTTTCGCCCTGATCTTCTCTTTATTTGTTCACTGTGTAGAAAAGGGGCTTTTCCTGAGGACTTTAAACAGCCAGGCGATGGCCTGTGCTTCTCAGGGGTCCTGGGAGTGGCCTTCTCTGGAGTCTGACATCCCTAAATGAGATTAAAACACAAATATTAGAATTTATAGATTGTCCACATATCTACTCTCTAGCTCCTCTTACAGCATTCATAAAATTGAAATACTCCGCGGAAAAATAGTAAAGCAAAAGGTACTAGTATCATGCATCAAATTCTTTCTTCTAAAGTGCAATATACCCCCCAGGGCAGTGCTACTGACTGAAGTGTCTTTAGGTCATTCGCAGGGGGGGCATTAATATGTTTTCAGGGCTGCCTACCTCAAAGTTCCCTTTTCAGGTAGATTCAGGGTCATTTTCAGGTAGATTGGCCCAAAATCAGGTAGTACAAAGACAAAGAAGAAAAAAAAAGATAATCGTTGCCCCATCGAACGCGCTTGCTTTCCGTGATATTGGGTAATTATATTTTGAAAACTTTGTGCATGCACGTGTGTGTGTGTGTGTGTGTGTGTGTGTGTGTGTGTGTGTGTGTGTGTGTGCATGTTGCCATGCTCTCGAATGTGCCCATATATGTGCGTGGGGAAGGAAGGGGGTGTATGGGTGTGCACAAGTTACAATGAACAGTGTGTATGAAATGGGGCGGGGTTGTTTTTTGTTATTTTTTAATGATTTTATGGACTATCGTTCAAGGCACCTATCATTCAGTATTGAATCTGTTATTGAGTGCAGGGTGATTGCCAAACTGACTTCAAAACCCCTAGCCCATACCAATAGAAACTAAATTAAAACATAATTTTCCCGACACTAGCATAGGACACAGATAAGTCCTTCGTGACTTAGGTATGACAGACAATTCATTTTAACTAGTTTTACCCTAAAATACATAATGAACCCTGATCTGGGCCTGAGGAGAGGCAAGAAGAACATCAACTGCCAAAACCAAGTTTGGTTTCAGCAATCACGGATTTTAAAAAGCATGCAAGACAAGACTAAGTATTGTTTTTTTTTCAAAATGCTAAATCACAGTACCACTATTTAATCAGCAACAAGCCATCATGATGCATAGCCATCCAACATAGAGCTTTCCGAGGGTTGAAAATGGCATTTCCTCATTGCCACTATTCAATTTGTCATCACTGACAAACCCGGGAACACCAACCTTGAAGATACAATCATCAAGCCTGTGCTCTAATGTTCCCTCATTTACGCACTCGATTGTCAAATGTCAAAGCCACTTCCACTTATCGTTTTTATTTTAGCATCAGTTTCTTGCACCGCGGCCTTTTGCTGCAGCCGTAGACTTTATTGCATCAAACACCTCCCCTCAATTCCGACGCCCCGCAACACTCCTATTTTGAATGAACTTTGATTAGGCTTTCCCCAACAACCACCGGCCGGTCCCTTGCTCATGCCGTACTCACAAACTCTCACAGGTTCATTGACCGGTCACGATGACGGGCCCGACAATCTAGGACGCGTGGTTTTTTTTCTCCCTTTTTTGTCATTATAGTGACATCAGTGAGAATATTGATTTACTGTTCATGGCTACACTGTGTTTTTTACGCTCAAACTGCAGGTTACAAATTTTTGCTAACTGTATATCTAACGTTAACGAACTATCATCGGACAATTATCTGAGCGGTAGCGAAAGCGAAAGTAGATTTTGATTTTCCCAATGGAGTCTCAGTATTACACCTACACTTCCGCCTGCCGCTCATTCGCGCAAAACGTACTCTCGGACTGGGGAAAGCCGAACGTAGTATCACAAACGCGACCAGTAAAATATGAACTCAGAAGGCTTTCAGATTTGGTTTCGAGGACTTTGTGCATTTTCTCGGCGATTTTTTTTTCTTTTCAGACACCCGGGTACCGGTAATAAATTCCCACTGTCCCCCTGCGTAGAATCCTTTTTTTTTGTACTGACCAATTCTCTAGACCAAGACAGATTTTTAAATGTTTTGCTTCGATACCGATTTTCCTTCTATATTCACAATTGTTTTCTGGATAAATGAATTAAATGCACAGATTTTCCAGCCGCAGCAAAAAACTGAAGATAGACAGAAAGAAAGAATGAATGAAAAGAAAGAGGAAGATTATCTATCGTGAGTAGACAGATTTCAGCCGATATGCACGTGAAAAACTATTGCCGACCGAACGGCACAGATAGACAATGGTCGAGTGTAGGAAATGCGCAATCTGGCAGTTTCTAATACAATTTATTGCCGAGAGTTGCCATAAATATCTGACAAGTTGCGAAGGCAAGTGCTGCTCTCTCTCTCTCTCTCTCTCTCTCTCTCTCTCTCTCTCTCTCTCTCTCTACGCATGGAGTTAATATGATGATGCGGCAAGAACGGAACTTTCGGAATGTACGGATTTCCGTAAAAACAAAGAAGAATGGAAACACTGCAGAATGGGGGTTTTTTTCTGTTTATTCTCTCGGAACCCATCGCAAATCCGGTAGTTTTGAGACCTTATCGGTATGTCGGTAGAACAGGCCCAAAATCGGTATCTACCGGAAAAATCGGTAGATTTAGGCAGCCCGGTGTTTTTATGCACAGTAGAATTGTACATTGTAAATGGGCTGATTCATCAATGTCATGCTCATGTCTGTGCCTGAACTGCAACAGGGAATTGCTGCTTTTTAAATTTTCTTTCCTAATCCTTACTATCGTCATTTTCCTCTATTTCTTTAGTATGTTTGTCACACTCTTGTGACCCACTATTTACGGGGTGCCTTGATAGTTGAAGCAGACTTTGTGCTGTTGAAGCTAGAGAGGAGAGGAGAGTAAGCCCGATTCCATGTGATGACTCTCTGTTGACATCCACCCCTTGGCGCTCATATGACCTTGTGCAGTTGCGAACGCGGTAAAAGCTCTACTAAAACAAAACAAAAATGCAATATAAAGGCCATTTGTGTAGCAAACAAAATCCACTTAACTACAAACAACACATTACGTACGGGTATTTCATATTTACCTTTGACCCTACATTCTGCTGGGTTTTCGGTAACCTCTTGAGCAGGTTGATAAGACCAATTGCTGCAGTTGTCTCCTTTGCTTTCTCCTCTTCTCGTTTCTTTTGTTTCCGCTCCTTATCTATCTTCTTTCTGGCAGTCTTCATCTGATCAGACATCCTGGAATAGTGGTTTTTTCTCACTTCACTGTCATGCTTTCGCCTCTCTTCTTCTGTCATGTCACACCGCCTCTTTCCGGTACTCGAAGCAACCGTGGTAGATTCATGCGGCTGTCTCACTGTGGTGCTACAAGATTGAGCTGCCTTTTTCTCTCTGTAACGCCGGCCCCGTTCCCTGAAAACCGCAAAAAATGTCACATAAGAATTTCTATTTGTTGCAACTGCTGCAATCAAGCCAAAATTTTAAGAACAAGAGAAATAGATGAATAAAATACAAACTTACCTCTGCGCTAACTTTTCTCTCTCTATCTGCTGAAGCGCAGCTCGGGTGGGCATCTCTTCAGCCCGTTTTGTCTTCTTTTTGTCTCTCCTCTCTTTATTCCGGATCCTCTGCTGAAGCAGATACGCCTGATACTTTTCAGGCTCTTCTTCTTTCCACCGATGTCTCAACTTTGAGGAATTCGAAGACATAATCTGGAAAATTTAACAGAACACTCTCTATTCCCAAACAATGACCTACATTCAAATACAGGACACAATCGTTACCAAACAAAAAATGTGGCAAATATTTTTAAATTGAAAAATATTGAGCTTTTTTAAATGAAAAATATTGAAAAAAGAAATATACCCAAGGCCTAAACGAAAAAACTGGAAATTAATATAAAATTCACAATCCAAAGCCCAAACTCAGCCAAGACAGATTGTACAGTAGCCTAGGCCTAAGCCCTAACTAAGCCACATAGCAAGAATAGACTGAAATTGCCCATCAAGCTGAAATTTCTCCCCCTCATCTTCATAAAAAATGGCTGAAAAAAAATTAAATTCTAATAGAAATACAGTAGAACTCGGATTCAACGAGGTCGCCGGGCCTGATCTAAAATCTCGTTGAATCCGAGTGTTCGTTATAGCAAACATGAGGTTTTGTGTAGGTAATAACAGGCACTGAGCAAGTAATGTATAAAGAGGTTAGCAGAGTAAGCCCAATTCCCCGTGAGGACTCTCTGTTGACATCTACCCCTTGGCGCTCATATGACCTTGTGCAGTTGCGAACGCGGTAAAAGCTCTACTAAAACAAAACAAAAATGCAATATAAAGGCCATTTATGTAGCAAACAAAATCCACTTAACTACAAACAACACATTACGTACGGGTATTTCATATTTACCTTTGACCCTACATTCTGCTGGGTTTTCGGTAACCTCTTGAGCAGGTTGATAAGACCAATTGCTGCAGTTGTCTCCTTTGCTTTCTCCTCTTCTCGTTTCTTTTGTTTCCGCTCCTTATCTATCTTCTTTCTGGCAGTCTTCATCTGATCAGACATCCTGGAATAGTGGTTTTTTCTCACTTCACTGTCATGCTTTCGCCTCTCTTCTTCTGTCATTTCACACCGCTTCTTTCCGGTACTCGAAGCAATCGTGGTAGATTCACGCGGCTCTCTCACTGTGGTGCTACAAGATTGAGCTGCCTTTTTCTCTCTGTAACGCCGGCTCCTTTCCCTGAAAACCGCAAAAAAATGTCAACTAAGAATTTCTATTTGTTGCAACTGCTGCAATCAAGCCAAAATTTTAAGAAACAAGAGAAATAGATGAATAAAATACAAACTTACCTCTGCGCTAACTTTTCTCTCTCTATCTGCTGAAGCGCAGCTCGGGTGGGCATCTCTTCAGCCTGTTTTGTCTTCTTTTTGTCTCTCCTCTCTTTATTCCGGATCCTCTGCTGAAGCAGATACGCCTGATACTTTTCAGGCTCTTCTTCTTTCCACCGATGTCTCAACTTTGAGGAATTCGAAGACATAATCTGGAAAATTTAACAGAACACCCTCTATTCACAAATAATGACCTACACTCAAACACAGGACAGTCATTACAAAATATGGGAGAAATATTTCAAAATTGAAAAATATTGAGCAAAGAAATATATCCAAGGCCTACACGAAAAAAATGGAAATTAGTGTAAAATTTATCATCCAAAGCCCAAACTCAGCCAAAACAGATTGTACAGTGGCCTAGGCCGAGCCACATAGCAAGAATATGCTGAAATTGCCCATCAAGCTGAAATTTCTCATCTTCACCCAAAAATGGCTGAAATAAAAATTAAATTCTAATAGATTGTTTGTAAAAAGAGCCCAAAATAAACCTACAAACGATCTAAATCTAGAATGTAGATTTCTTTAGATCTAGATCCAGATCACGGCCACGACCCATAATAAGACTAGATCTAGATCTAGCTTTTCTATTTTTCACCTTAAAAGGCTGTTAAAGTACCAATATTCCTTCTTTCAAATCATTAAATTAATTGCTTTTCTTTCTTTAAGTACCGAAATTTCATTAAAATCACCAAACAAGTAACCCACACGCAACACATTCTTTCCGATTCCATAACAATCGATGTTACATCGTTCCGAAGCCGTCGTGATAGATTTAGTGCATTTCCGACAGTAAGCGCGATCGACTGAGATAGACGTCGTTCCGAAACAAGAATGGTCGATTTAGTTGTTCTTTCGATCAGATGATTTACTAGTTTTCCCAATATTTGCTCCATTTTTTTCATTTAGTTTTATATCAAAGTTAACAGAATGAACACAAAACAGTATCAGAAATTCCGAATTTGATAAGAAAATGAAAAAAAAATACAGAATATTATTTTAAGGGAAACTAACATTCCCGTCGATCATTGCTGGTCGGTTGTGTTCGGAACGACCATATTATTATTATTTTAAGCCACACTGTGGACTTACCGTTCAGAGAAGAAGTCCAAACCTGCAGCGTATTCGAAGATGTCCGTCACACGATGACAGAAACAAGGAACGTATGAAAGGTCTCCGTCATTAAGAAGAATAAATAAAGCTTTCTTTGTTCAACGTCGATCGTGATTGGTTGTCGGAAAGAAATGGGTCACGTGAGATACTGGCCCATAATTTCATACGAAGTGTATACAGACCCGGTAGGGGAACTCTTTTGAGATTTCGGAAAGTTTCAGCGCCCAGACCCGGAGTGTGTGTGTGTGTGTGTGTGTGTGTGTGTGTGTGTGTGTGTGTGTGTGTGTGTGTGTGTGTGTGAGAGAGAGAGAGAGAGAGAGAGAGAGAGAGAGAGCAGGGGGGAGTGCTGTAAACTCTCTGGGGAAGTGCTAGCAAAATGTAGCCCCAGTTGGCAGGAGGGAACGGGAGAAAGATAGAGTGGAAAATAGGTGGGGAGAAAGAAAGACAGAGACAAACAAAGAAAAAGAGAATGCGAGCGATTAACAGAGACAGATGCGAGATATATATATATATATATATATATATATATATATATATATATATATATATATATATATAGAGAGAGAGAGAGAGAGAGAGAGAGAGAGAGAGAGAGAGAGAAAGAAAGAGAGAGAGAGAGAGAGAGAGAGAGAGAGAGAGAGAGAGAAAGAGAGAGGGTGACAGCTCAATTGTAATTATGACATTGTTCTTTTCTTCAAATTGTGATTCCTCCAACTCCAAAACGGGAGGAGAAACGATCGTTCATCGAAAAGACATCCGCAATCTTCATTTAGATCTAGATCTAGGCTAGCCTCGAAACTAGATCAATGATTTACGTCTGTCTGTCTAGATCTAGACCTAGGCCATAGATCTAGAAGAACTTATGTCTACCCTGAGCACAGAATTCTACACTAAGTGTACTAAGTGTAGAATTCTGTGACCCTGAGCCAAGAAGAACTTTCCGAAATCCCATACCGGGTCTGTATACTTTGTGACTTGGTTCCCGGTTACCGAGTCTGTAAATTTTATACATGTACTCCCAATTTCTTAAATCAGGACGAAATAGCCAAATTTTTCCTATTTACACGCTCAAAATAAGTGTTAGTTTCACATAGGGGGGCAAGTATTCCACAAATTTCATGTGGAAAGGTAGGCGTAGATGGCATTTTGAGAACACCCTATTTCAGAACGACAGGTGCAATGAAAGTGTCGGTCCCAAACATTGGCCTAAGGACATCGCTACCTCAGAATAACAATGTTCTATCTGCTCAGTACCTAGTTCTAGTATTGAGAAACTTGACATCAAAGATTTTGAGTTTCACAACACGTCAAGCTTTTTCGAATGAAATTCTGGGAATATATTGATGACGAATCCGGGTAGTCTTATAAATTTGATAGAGCAGATAGAACATTTGGTTTCAGACCTCATAGTCTTAGTGATTCAAGATAGCCAAAACTGTTAGATAGAACTTTGTAATTCTGAGGTAGCGACATGCAAGGCAACTTTTCAAGGATATTTTTTATAGGGCCGCGGCTAAGCATGGGCGAAGTCAAGTCGAGATTCGGAATTCGACGAATTCGTGGGGTCTGAGTCGGAGATCGAACATTGGGCAGGAGGACGAG